AATAGATAACAATAAGATGAAGACATCTTCTGGTTTAATTTTACAAGACTTTATGGCGGGACAAATAACATGCATTATATTCTGAAAAAGGTTAGGTACCTCACCTTTAAATATGTATTTCATTTCATTTATTTGTTTAATTTATTAGAATCCTTATGCCAATTTCTCAAACTTTTATATTCCTATGCTAAGAAGCATACCCGATTATTAATGAAAGTGTGTCTTTCTGTAACTCAAGTTTGAAGCAGGTGTGTGTGCTTTGGACTCTGGACCAGGTAAGAATACCAAAGATCAGAGAATTTCCATGAAGTGAAGAGCCGAGCAGGTCTGCTGACATTACTGCCGTACCAAATCCAACCTGGCTGCCCACTGATTGACAGGAACACAGCCTGGTCTTCACCTTGGCTCACGCTAGTGTGGAATAGGAGCATCCATGTGGAAAAACAGTATGGACAGCGCTGCGGAAGAACATGGCAGCTGTGGCTCATGCCGTGAACTCCTGCCATCTGCAGTTCCACATGACATGGCTGGGTGGCAGTGAGCAGAGCCTTCCTCATGTCAGCCAAAGCGGGGCCTCTGGAGCGGGTCAGAGCTGCTGCTGCTGCACTCAGCCAGCAGCCTAAGAATGGAAAAATGCAGGCTTGTTTTCCTTCACACACTGCCAGGCCTTTTATGACAAGGACACAACATGAGACCCACTCTCCAGGTGCACTGCACACTGGTTCAACCCAGTCCCACATCAATCGATGAAGTATTAGTGGCTACTATCGGTTGGAAACATTTTAAATTGGTGTAATAGTACGCACTGATGTCTACAGTTATCATGTTGAAAAAGTGAACAGAGAAAATAGATATTGAAATACACCAATCAACATCTGTCACAAGCAGTGGGGGCAGTTGGCCGTCCAATCACAGCGATAAGGAGGCGGGCTGACATCTTTTGATGTGATTCTGATAGCTCTGAAATCTGCAAGCCCATTTGCTAGTTGAAATACACTATGGCAACTTTCCACGAGTCAAAAACCACTATAGAGACTGGTTCAAACAACAGCTCTTGGCTAAACTCATACTTCATAAGACATACAAACTTTGTATGCAAGCAGAACCAGAACAAAGTTCGACAGATTACACTTTTATCAATCAACACTTCATCTATCCAGTTATATTATTGGGAATAAGTATATTATTGTAGTTCATTTTCCATAATAAAATCTGCCCTGAAGCAGACTGTGCCTTAACCAAAGACCAGGTTGGACTTGGTTTCATCTGAAATGGTGTTTTTCCTTGCCTTTCCTTCTTGCATTTGACTGAAGTGGCATTAACCCTTTAACAGTTTCCTCAACCATTTGTTAGATCAGCTCTAAGTCACTCATGGAACTGAAATCTATCTCTTTTGGGCATCTCTCTTGGTTTTAGGCACTTTTATACCATCAAACTGCATCTCAACCCTTTGGTGAAAGGCCTCTGGAACTCACTCCCACAACCCATCAGAAACTCCGACTATAGTAGAGAATAGCAACAGCAGTTCCAGCCTCTTGCGAGCACTGCCGGATCAGCGCTACTTGGAGCATGCGCAAAGGGGAGATGAACTTTTTCTAAGTTTTCCTGCGGAAGGGGCCACTTGGGATACCTCAGTGTTCAAAAATGAATGGGGAGAATTGGCCACACACTGTCCATATTATTTACGGCCATAAGCCCTTTGGCATCAGTGTTCAGGCTTTTTTTCTGAAGTGAATCATGGAATAGTTACAGTTTTCTGGAACGCACAAAGTTCTGCATTTACATTACAGTTAAGTTTAAATGTATGTAGAAAAGTTCCTACTTTAATTTGTGTTTGTGGTTAAAAGTTGAGTTTGACTATTGAATCATTAAAATATCTGACATGTTTGTGAATATTATTATTACTGATCTCGCTGAAGGAAGATATTAAAAAAAACAGATAGGCCAAAAAGGTTTGATTTCAGTGTAAATCAGATAAAAAAGCAACATATGTTTTGAACAGTTCTGCTGGCTTCTGTTAGAAATATTAATGCAAAGGTATGGAGTGATTAGATATGGCACTGTCAGCCGTGGTCGAACCAAAGCTGACACAACGGTTTAAGTGTGTGTGATAAAACAGAAGCCTTTTGCGTCCAGACCACAGCTGAAGGAGCCACTCTTCTGCCAAAAAATACACTACGAGGTCAGAGTCGATGCCCGATGACTCATTGCTCAACTTTACTTCACAAACAAAGCTGCAACTCTGATATGTCCAGCATCTCTAAATGTCTTAATACATTTTGAAACCGATCATGTTTGATATTCCTCCAGAAGTTTAAACCGCCAATGTTTTTCCCCCTCTTTTCAACTTCTGCCTGCAATATGGAAACGTCACAGCGAGAGCTCGGGCAAAGATAATGATGATAATGTGCCCAAGTTCCGGGAACGACAAGCCTTCAATGAGATCTGATGACCTCATTATTTCTAATTAGTCTCCGGAGGCACCTACATGAAGACTTTAAAGGTGGTCTAGAGGTTAATCCAGTTGGCAGAACGAACCTTTCCCTCGTTTGGCTCAACATACTGCCTTTCTATCTTCTAGGCCTGACCGAGTGCACACAAGCCTCTGCGAGATAGCCCGCAATGTCGGAGATAGCCTTTTGCATGATAACTAAACAGTCTGTCATGGTGATCCCTTCATAGACACCCTTTTCACAGAAGACCTTTGCCCTCTTCGTTTTTCCTCCCCGCAGTTAAACTCCCACAGAGCCCCATGGATACGGTATTCACCTCATCCGTCTTGAAATGGCATTATTACTTATCAGCTATTTGCAAAACAAGATTTTCTGTTGTATATTCAATCACTGCTTCTCCATTGAATGCAAACCCCAGTGTCAGGTGCTATCACTGCTTCATGTCAACTGTATTTTTGTTCATACTAAATCTTATGTCCTTGTGTACCGTCAATAACTCATTGCCCAACCAGTCTGTGAGTACTGCCAGATGTTACCCCTTTGTTTTGTTTTTTTCATTCTCTTTTCTGAATGGAAGTTTAAAGTCCCACAGGTGATGACAGGCCTGGGAAACGTGAAGGCTGAAAGGCAGTGTTATGCTTTCAAATTAGCTTAGAGATTTATTAGCCACTTTGCTGTATCTCAGGAGTGACTTTTATCAAAATGCTCTACCGTAAAGTTTTTAGTTCATGCATTGCTTGATTGTACATCCACTAGAATTAAAGACTAGCTTGAATCTTCTGTTGCAATACACCTCTGTAGTGGCTTTTGACGTCATTTATTTTGAAAGGCTATTCGAAATTACAAACTTTACAAAAAATTTCAATGTGTTAAAGTTAATGTAACTAGTTTTTACATCACGTCTTTCGATCAGCCTTTTTGGTGACAAAGAGATTGACAGCCTTCACTCAGCCAATCAACTCTCAGCATGTAAAAGATGAAGAAGAGTTCCAATAAGACAAAGAATGTTGTGGTCTAATTTGTAAAAAAAAAAAAAAAAAAAGTCTTCTAACAAGCGTCTTTTCAGTTGTAACAAACAAAATGGTGAAACAAACGTTAAGAACGCCAGCTTTGAGCGAAAGATTCTAGAGGATTCTAAAGCTAAAGAACCATGTACACCTTTTTTGTGTGTGTGTGCTCCATAATCCTACACTGTCTATAATGTGCTCTGCAACACTGAAATTTCTACCACTGCAGGACAAATGGAGGTTTGCTATTCTCTCTAATCATATATACACATTCTACATTACATTTCATACCAAAGTTTCAAAGTGACATCTTAAAAAACAAGTCTGAGTTAGATGTGACAAATCTCTTATCACATCTGATTGGTGTGTGTTTGTGTGTGTCCACAGTTTGTTTAGACTACTTAAGCATGAGACCCGAGTGAGTGGGCAGGGACCCCCTCGTTTTGGAGGAATGTTGAGGAGGAGGAGGCCTGCTGATGGTTAGCTGCAGAAGGTGTAATTATAAGGCGCGTGATTGTGAGAACCTTCCCTTCCCCAGGATCAGCAAAGGTCACAGATAAAAGAGCATCCTTCAGCTTCTGTCACATTTACAAACGAGCGGGATGCACTTTACACACCTCAAAACATGTGGACGTCAACGCGTGGCCGTTACGAGAATCAGTGCAAAAACACAGGAAAAGACAATAGCCCTCAAAGCCAGTAGCTGCAGGTCGCATTGTGTGTGTTGAGCCTCTCCGGGAGCTGCAGAGGAGTGTCATAAATTAGACAGCTCCGGGAGGTTCCTTCAAATCATGTGGGATTGCGCGTCGCCCTTATTGGTGTGGTTGGTATAATTTGGCACTGGCTGACTGCTATTTGCAGAGTAGGAGCTTGATGACACATGGCGATCGCCTTTCTTTTGCGAGTGCTTTGTGTCATGTGTGGCAGCTGGGTGTGGCAAGGGAGTATGCCGTCCATGTGCTGTTGTGTTTACTGTTGATGTAACTGTTTGTAACCTTAAATATTGTCACCCACCCCCATCACCTCACTACCGAAACCCTGCATTCTAATTCGTTTGAAGTGGGAGACAAAAAAACCTCAACCCACGTGGCAATTTCTGCTGTTATGGAAAGTGGTAGACATGGAGCAGTGAGGAATGATATAGCATATTGTTGGCCCTCTTCACTTGCCAGATGGGATATACTCTTCCTGTTGTGGAAAACGATTAGTTAAAAACATATGCCCTATAATGTGTTGCATCCAGACAGTCAGAGCAAACTGCTGAAAGAGGTCAACATGATCTAATTCTTCTCTCATCTGTTCCTCACTTTTAAAATGTGAAACAGGGAATATGGACAAAACTGTCTGTCAGGTAGGAACAAGCTTTGTAAAACACACTCCAGTCCCTGAGACAACCAGGCATTGACAGTTTTTTTTTTCTCTGTGGGAAAGACGGTATAATCCTTTCAAGAACTCCATTCCACAGAGCCCTCAGCCTTCGATCAAGTCCAGATGAGAGGCCTGCACAGGGTGTCTCATGTATGTGTCTGTCTTCCTCCAGGGTGCAGGATCGAGAACTGTGAGTCCTGCTTCAGTAAAGACTTTTGCACCAAGTGTAAAGCTGGTTTTTACCTGCACAAAGCCCGCTGCCATGAAAAGTGCCCTGAGGGTTTCGCTCCGCTGGAGGACACCATGGAGTGTGGAGGTATGTCAAACGTCAAACAGTTAGTGATGAATTGCTGTAATTAAGGCCCATTTTAACATGTATTTATTTTATTTGGGTTAGGGTTAGGTTTATCTTATTATTTATTTATGTTTTTGTCAATTTGCTTCAGTCTCTTAATAATGATAGCAACTATAACAGAGTGAGTAATTAGAATAGTCTATAACATATAATTAACACTGTTTGTAATGCTGAGCATTTACAGCTTGCAACCAATCGTCTTAAGAACCAACAAAAGGATAGGAAATAGTGGAAGAAGCTTAGAGTAATAATTATTCAAACCACTCAAGAATGGCATTATTCTTTCACTCAGTGGTGATGAACTGCTTCTGTAGCTTCCCTGGGACAGACTGACAGAAGCAAGGCAACTAGTATGTGCCATCTGCCCCTCCTACCACAGGGAGATGGCGCCACAAAGAAAGAAGAAGCATTACCTACATGTCTATTGTCAAATGGTAGCAATTAAGAGCAGCTAAAGCTTGTCATTCCCTGATCGTTGTATTTACTTTATTTTGATCATGACACATTATTCTAAAAGTGAAAATACATTTCAAATTGCAATTATTTGAAAAGGAATAGGTAGAAATAAAATCTACCCCTCTTTATAATTCAAAATAATGAAATAATGTGTTATTTGTTTGTCTGTGCAGAAGGCTGTGAGGTGGGCCACTGGAGCGAATGGGGAGCATGCACCAGGAGAAACAAAACCTGCGGATACAAGTGGGGTCTGGAGACACGGACACGGCACATTGTAAAGAAACCGCCCAAGGACACAATACCCTGCCCCACCATCGCAGAGTCCCGAATGTGCAAAATGTCTATGCGGCACTGCAGAAGAGGTAAATGTTCCCACAGCACTTTACTACGTGACAGAGAGCGATGTCATTCTCATTCTCTCCACTCTCACTCTCCAGTTTACACTGCCACAATGCATATTAAAGAAAACAGCCAGGCCATCCCACAGGGGACTTTTTTCCACCTGTCAAAAGTAACCCATGTACCTTACATTCAGCCCTTTTTTCTTCAGCGTCTGTGTTTTTGAGGTGCACCGCGGCGTTTCAGAGCATGAAATATCAGTATTTTTCCGCTGTGGCCTTGTCTTACCCAGCTTCTTTTCTAGGCTCTATTTTTCCTCATCTCACTTCCTGTTCTCAGTGGAATTCTTCAGGTTTCCTCAATGGGCATTTCTGTTTTCGTCTGTCACTTTGAAAGATATTTTTTGCACTCACTACATTTGTCAGGCATCTAGATGGGACGTTACAAAAGAAGGTTTTTTATTGTTCAAACTGTTGACTATTATTACATAGACCATTCTCACTACAAACACATGATTGGGGAGCGGCATCAGCCCTTTTTTTCTGCACTTATAAAATAAATATGGCTCATTTTCACATCCCTCGTAAGCGTTGTATTTGCATAGACAGTGTGTAAATATTTCATTTACCTAACATGGAAACGTTTGCAGTGATACATATCATTTAGCCTGTCAAAAAATCTAACATTGTTTAGCAGAAAGAGGAATCCAACTCCCAAACTTTCTTTCCATTTTTGGCCTGAAGTGTTGAGGTTAGAGCACTGCTGAGAGAAGTGGTGAAAGAGTAAATAAACTTGAAATACAGTAAACTCAGATAGTTTCTCATATTACAGTGCTACTAAGGCACTTAGTGCTGCCTGGACTGGAAACTGTGATTGTATGGCACATTTAGCTCCTTGAAACTCCCCGTCTCCAACCCCCACATGCCCTATTTATGACTCTGACTTTTATTACTTTTTTTAATTAAAATTTGGCCTGTTGCACATGGTAACTGTCAGCAATTATCTTTATCATTAGCTCACCAATGGGATTTGGAGAAATAGACCATATTTGTTCCTTCATTGCCTTAGAAACCAAAGGTAGAATTCTTACTGCTGCTCCTTGGTCATGACTTAAGACTACGTCCCTATAAGTGATTATGTTTATGAACTATGGCCTCGATCTTGCTAAACTTTGGACTCTCTGGGCATTTGTTTTGTATGTGTGTGTGTGTGTGTGCGTGTGTGTGTGTGTGTGCGTGTGTGTGTGTGTGCGTGTGTGTGTGTGTGTGTGTGTGTGCGCGCGTGTGTTATAGGAGTATCATGTAGACTACAGTATGTGTATGTATATAGAATACAAATAGATTTCTGCAGAAGTAATTTAGTTATTAATAGTTCAGAATTAAGACAGCCTTAAATATCAATTTTCCTTCTTGTCTTTCTCAGTGGACACCAGACACCGTTTGTTTGATATGCAGATTATTTAGCTGCAGGCCGTAAAGATGCAGTGGATTAAATGCAGACAGGAAATCAGAGAAAGCTGTATGTAGGTACACACTATTTATGGGACATGCTTATCTGATCACAGTGGCTTGATATTTAACGTCATCAAAAGATCCTCTTCTCCCAGCTTAGCCGAGACGCACAAGGATACTGTTCCCTTGTGTCCGCCAATCTTTAATCCCTCAATAAAACGTACACGAACTGTGGATGAAAAGCAGAGATCACGTCAAGACTCAATACAAAGACAGTTAAGAAGCAGTGCCGGCTGAAATCATTTTCAGCTCAGTGGAATTGTAGAAGTAGTTCTCAACATTTTCAGGCGCGTCAATAAGTCGGTGGACTAAAGTATCCATACAAGTTTTTTCCCCGCCGTTTTTTCTAGTCGTTCTTTCAGCGGCAGGTGGGTCTAAGGGCAGTGAGGATCCAGGACATTTAGGGACGTTTATGGACATTGGTCATCCCACTCCCAAGCCCCGGCGATCCAAGATGGCGCTGTATTCAAATGAATGGTTTGTGCTCAGTGGCGCATTGTGCCGGCATGGGCGCCGAAAGATTAGCGGAACTCGCCTGGAACTCGCAAAGATCCATGGGAACCCGCCTGTATTTGGGCATCGCCTGGTCCTCCCGGTTCTAAACAACTAATATCCCACCTTTTTTTAAATATTTGACCATCATTATTGTGGGAACTGATCTGCTTCTGGACTCTGATATGTTTGTGGCCATGACTTGGTTTTGACTACAGTAAAGATGTGGCTATATTAAAATGCTCATGGCGACACACAAACCTTATACACACCCAACAGCAGTATAGTGTACTTCCAGCTCATTTGACACATTCTACTGCAGAATGCATCAGATTTGGCCAAAATGAATAAAAATATGTGCTGTACCTGGCTGCTTCTCACATTAGCACTGATCGTCATCTCCTCAGTCCTGTCTCATGTATCCTTTATTCCAAACGCAGAGATGAAACAGTCCAGTGTGTGAAAAGTGGGGATTGAGGTTTAGCCAAATAAACGACAGTCATTGAATCATGGTTAGCTAACTGAACTCTCAAAGTGAAAAATTTTAATTTCTTCAATATAAATTTTTACAAACATCGTTGGGGAGACAACTCGGAACAATCTTTCAAAACACTGACTTTTACTGCACTTTGAAGCGTTGTTCCTTCACTGTAGCATTAAAAAGACCATCTAGATAAACACTGCTAACACTCTAGCTCAGGGTTATTCAACTCAGTACTCATTGTGCCGAATGGCTCCGGGTTTCATTCCAATCAAGCTGGAGTACACCTGACTCCATCTCTTCAGGTCAGGGCCGAGTTAGATATCCCTCAATGAAGCCGATACTTGAAAAGTTAACTCCTCTAACTCAGGAATTGTCACTCTTTCTTAAGGCTTAATAAATCTTTGTTTTAGCTTTTATGATCCTAGGGTTTTGATTTTGATATTGTCTTTGTAAATCCAGATATGAGCCACCGGGATTGACCAATCAGATGCCTTCATTCACAGGGGCAACTCAAGCTTCCCTTTGCAACCATGCTAGCAACACATTTTAGTTTGCCCCTGTCACAGCGCAAAGCTAACTTGATCAGAACAAATGCCTATATAATGCCCATTTAACTTGGCTCCAGCTATCTTCTGTTCATATGGGCTTCTTCCGCATTCTGCAAACATTATGGCCGACGTCAGCACTCAGTCAGTCCACTCCTAATAGAAATGTATGGACAGCACACAGCAGCTGCATCACGACTGGACAAATGTTTGAAAAAAGACATTACAGAGTTTTAGTGTAAATATCCTTATGCCTTATAGGGGGATGTACAGAGGGAGGTACAAACTGAAATTTCCTCTCTGCGGGATGAATATCTATCTTACATATATCTTAAATTAACTTATCTTAAAGGAACTAGGAGGGCCGTTCTCATAATCGTACCACAAAATGCATTTACTGTATATTGATAGAACTACGGCATTACCCTGACTATTTACCTTAGAGTTGAACCTAAATATATGTTGGCACAGACATTAACAACATATCTACTAAAACATGATCTAACTTTTTATACGAGATGATCCACTGCTTTGCTGGACTCTAGTTTTGTCAGGTATTTGCACGATGCCCTGGAAGAAGTGGAAAGCTAATTTTATCCGGCGGATCCCTGGAGTGTGATATGAAGACTATAGAGACTCCATTAAGAACTGCTCTGTCTCTCTCTGAACTGACAGATATTCTTTTTGTTATGGGAGCTTGACGAAAGGTGAAGGTGCGATCAGAGCTTTACGCTAGTATTGATTCTTATATAAACTTGCCATGGCTATCTTGTCAATCAGTTTCTTGGTTATATATAAATACCAGTAACACTAGAATATGTTGTCTTGTCTTTCCTGCGTGAGTTGTCATTCCCCAGGACTTCTGGGAGCCAAATAAAAGCATCTCATGAGTGAATATTTGTCCTCGTCCTTATGTCTGTCGGGTCAATGCAATTCTGTTACCACTGTTTGTCAGGTCACAGCTCTAAAGTCTTTGCGCGAGGTCCCGTTGCCAATAGCGATGGCTCCTAAAATGTAGCCTGCAGGACTTTGGACAAATTGTTTGTACTTTATCACAGCTACAATGAATCTGCTCATCTGGCCTGTATCCATTTTGTTGTTTTGGGTGTTCCTATTTTGAGAGAAAATGAAGCTACAAAAAAAGTGTGTTTGCTTTTATCCAATCTTATGTGTAAGGCTGGCTCCACATGTTTTTATATGGTCATACTATGTGAGTTTATAGCTAAAGCAATATGCTTTTTTTTGTGCTTGACATTAAGCCTTTTTTAATCCATTTCCCCATTCACAATGTGTTGTTGCAACAAGTCAAGTATTTTCCAAATCTGTTTATTTAGTAGTACAGTATTAGTGCTTACACAGCCTTATACTAACTGTGTAAACAACTTTTCTCTGTTTGTAATCCCTGCTTCAGGTTTAAGCAGGGGTAAAGTCCAACACAAACACAACAGCAGCTTGAGCTAATGTTAGACACATTCACAAATCGGATTTTTAGATTCTCAGACAAAGTCATTTTGCCTGGTTCCTGGGTAAGGCCACTGAAAGCATATCGTAACCCTTACCCGAACTAACACAAGAAGTATCAAGTAAAGTTATGGAACAGTAAAACATTTATAGCTGCACAATTTTGGACCTGATAACAGAAACGTAACAGGCCCTACTTTATACTGAATTTTGCGGTTCGATTTACTCTCAAAATGCTTCTGCTGATCTCATGGAAGGAGGATAAAAAACATAAGTGAAAGAACATATAGTTATTATATCTGGACAGTGTACCTATTTGAACTGCAGGCAAATGGGAGTATTGATCTCTTTTTGTAACTCTAGAAACCTTCTCTGGTGCGGGCCAACATCCCATCAGTCACTGCATGTACTCTGATCCAGCTATCTCCAACACCACAGAGACGTCAAAATGTCCTGTGATTTTAGCATTCGCACAGTAAATGACCACTGTCTGATTCTAGATCTATGGCCCGGTTCATTCCCCCACACTA